CTCTCTTCTTTTTAATATACACACTTTTCTCTCGTTGGAACTCTATAGCTTCTTCCTTATATATATATATATATATATATATATATATATATATATATATATATATATGTGAGCATAGAAGTCAACACTTAGGCGACAGTCTGTTTCATTCTATATGCAATCGTCAGCACACGTGGCCTGAAGATTGCATATATGAAACAGACTGTCACCTCTAAGTGTTGACTTATGTTCACTTTTATATTTACACACGCTCTATCTCTGATTTGAGCACTTTATCCATAAATATAGCACATCTTAAGACTATATTTCTTCATATATATATATATATATATATATATATATATATCTAACAATGTTGGCATGACCAACAGACTATCACAGATTTATCCACGCATTAAATTAAAGTGCTCAGTGGTTAGACTATGTAGACAGAGTAGAAAATGCTTCACTAAGTAAACTCTAAATGAAGGACAGGCTACTAGAACTAGGATGTATTAATACGCTTGCCTGCCAAAGAACTTTCTCGAGCCAGCTCTACGTGTTGTTAGTAAAGCAGAATATAAGAAAAAAAGAGCAAATGTAACACCATCATATCTTTTTCTTTTTTCCCGCTGGCTGCTTCAGAGATAAGACGTTTTACGTTGCTATTCGCGCGGCTTTTGGTCCCAAGCGAATTTCATATTGAACACAGTGCACAATATTGGAAAGCATGCAGTGCCCTAAGCTTATCTGTTTACAGAGGGGCATATCGTACAATTCTACCAAACTGTAATGAAATATACTCAAATCTAAGTATTTCGCAACGTTTCAAATATTTAAAATCAGAATTCAAATTTGAAAGTTCTCATCTTGATTCTGTTTTGTCTACTTGCCTAATAATATATCAATTATGATAACATTTTTTTTTATTTTTTATTTTCCGTATTTTTTCCATCGACCGAATATATTGACATTCGGTAATGTATACTGAGTCAGCGAGTACAATTTAAAATTGTGCTCCATTTAGCCTATTTCAGTCAGTCAGTAAATTGATTTCCATAAAGGACAGACGGGGTTTTTACATTTTTTCGCTCATAATGAAATAATGAAACTTATCTTATGGTCATCAATATATATATATATATATATATATATATATATATATATTCTGACTATAGGAAGACATGTTTAGTCATATATATATATATATATATATATAAATTATATATAATTATATATATATATCTTGACCATCAGAAGACAAAGATTCATCGTATATATATATATATATATATATATATATATATATATATATATATATATATATATATCCATCAGAAGACAAGTTTCATAATATTAATATATATATATTATATATTATATATATATATATATATATATAATTATATAATTATATATATATATATATATATATATATATATATATATATATATATATATATATAATCTTAACCATCAGAAGACAGGTTTCATCATTTAAATGTTTATATGCATATATATATATATATATATATATATATATATATATATATATATATATATATATATATATATATATCCCTGTCTATTAAAAAAGACAAGATCATATATATATATATATATATATATATATATATATATATATATAGAGGAAGTACTATCTGATGATCAGGCGTCCTTTAAAAGGGTTCTGGTGAAATAGATTATTATAATGGTATCTTAATGTGCTCTGTATTTCTTTAATATATATATATATATATATATATATATATATATATATAACTATATATATATATATATATATATAACTATATATATATATATATATAACTATATATATATATATAACTATATATATATATATATATATATATATATATATATATATATATATATATATATATATATATTATAAAAAGATTAAATGTTTTATTCATACATATAAATACACCGTATTTCTACAATCCAGAAAATCAAACGTGAGGTCTGGATTCGCCATACAGATAATATATATACCCAAATTCAGGTCATGTGATTGTAGTTAAGATAAAATAATAATAATCTTATTTAAGAAAATTTATATATCGCAGCAGATCCCATATAAAATCTGAATAAGAAACAAACAAGTGACAAATGGGGTCTTATAGACGACCATCACATGAGAATACCTTCTTTTTTTTTTTTTTAACAGTACCTTGTACTAAGGGACTCATAATCCATCTTGGTTAATTGATATGTACTGCAGTATATGCCCACTTCAGTGCCAAACATCTCCTTGCCTGATCATTTTCAATGGTTCATGTAACCCCAAGACCTACACACTCTGCATCTCTGTTCATGGGTAGTAGTAGTAGTGATGGAGTATCATGGCTCCATATCAAAGATATATATTTTATTTTAAGATTCAAGGATATGGCCGCCAAGTGCCCTCAGGTGTCTCATGTAAACCTTTGGGAACATTTGAGCGATTATCTCATGTTACCGATCTGAGCGTATTTCTAACTGGGGCACACCTGTAAATTTATGCAGTGTTTTTAACAAAACCTCTTACCCTCACATACAAATATGGGTGTACTATATTTTCAGCGTGTAAACCTAGAAGACTGGATGTCCGAATGTGTAAAGTGTACCTCATTTAACTTTACTCTAATTTAATTTTAATAAGGTGCTGTTCTTTCATTCGATAATAATTTTACTGATGAATGAATAAGTAATTCTAAAGTATTATTATTCAAGCGGCTATATCTGGATCCGCTCGTCTTAGAAGAACAGCAGACATATGATACTGAGGTTAATGACATGACTGAGATCAAAATAATCTGTCGAAACGTTGAGAATCCTTATAAATCTAAAGACGATGAGAAACACTTTTCAGACAGGAATTCTTCGAAATTAATTTCAACGTCTGCGCATACACACTGATTAAATTTTGATAACGATAAAGCAAAGATAAGTGGTTCTTTGCACAGTAACTTGATAAATGTTAAGAATTACTAGAACAACAGAAGGTTTTTCTTCTGCCTGCTCAGCTATAATAGCTACGGAATAAAGATACTATACTTTTTTGTGCAATTATATAATTTACTCTGCAGTCTTCTTTTTTCTTAGGATGCGTTGGATAGATAAATATTGAACCCAGAAGTTTTAAATTGTAGTCATCGCGGAAGCATTCTTTGGTGGGGTGGGTGCAGAGTATTACTATATGTAGGAGAGATAATTGTTGATCTTAGACGTGAAGAGGTTAAGAGTGTAGTTATCGCGGAAGCAACCTCTCAGTAGTGTGTTTCATAAAGTACAAGTTCTCGGGAAGAAATACTCCGAATTGTTTTTGTTTTTTTCCATGCCAATGGAATATGAAGTGAAAAACATAATATGATCGTGGGTAATTAGCATGGTAGACCCTAACTCTGAAGGTCTTAACTAGACATTTGACACTCACGGGTCGTATTGAACCTAAGGGGAAACATTGAGCAAGATATCTAACGAATTTGTGTGAATGAATGACAGAGGATAGACTGCGAGGTGTATTAACGTAACACATATTGTTTAAAGCTACAAAAATATGAAGTAGTGAAGAACCATGATCACAATTACTGAAGGGACAGGACATATGAAAAAGGAAAGTATAAGGTTTACCAATTCAGAGTCGAACTCCATATTCAATTATAATAGTCTCCAAGTAACACTCAATAATAATCGTTTCCAAGTAACACTCAATAATAATAGTCTCCAAGTAACACTCAATTATAATAGCCTACAAATAACACTCAATAATAATAGTCTACAAGTAACACTCAATAATAATCATCTCCAACTAACACTCAATAATAATAGTCTACAAGTCACACACAAAAATAATCGTCTCCAAGTAACACTCAATAATAATAGTCTACAAGTAACACTCAATAATAATCGTCTCCAAGTAACACTCAATAATAATAATCTCCAAGTAACACTCAATAATAATAGTCTACAACTAACACTCAATAATAATCGTCTCCAAGTAACACTCAATAATAATAGTCTCCAAGTAACACTCAATAATAATAGTCTCTAAGTAACACTCAATAATAATCGTCTCCAAGTAACTCTCAATAATAATAGTCTCTAAGTAACACTCAATAATAATAGTCTCCAAGTAACACTCAATAATAATAATAATCTCCAAGTAACACTGCCATATGACCTGGATAGGTAAATAATGATAAGCAATTTTTTTATCGCTGACTTCGTAAAAAAATTGCTTTCATGGGAGCATGGACTGAATAAGGAGGGAATAAAAGAAAAAATGTCCGAAATGTGACCCACTTGTCAAATTCTGACCTGATGGACACATTTTAAGATATCCGAGAAGTTTTCAAGAACCACTTTTTTAGGGGCAATACAGGGAAGATATTATTCAGGCTGCAACGTCATTTGCACATGTAAATATATACTGATTAAATATCCAACACAATTAGACCTTTTATTCCGTATATGAAATCACCGCTCAAATTGATCTTGAAAGCGTTTAAATAATTAAAAGTCACCTACAGAAAAGTCTAATGGTGTCCGTATGAAATCCTATTAAATAACTCGTCACATAAAGAAAACTGACATCTTTAGGAAGCACTGTCATTTCTATGGTTGTAACGTTAACCATCATTAGAAATCCGCAAAGGACATTGGTTTTACTCGGGCGACGTCAAACACGAAACACCCAACAACCCTGTTCAGGTTATAACAATCATCCTCCAACCAATGACCATGCTTCTCTTCAAATCCCGCCGGACAGTCAAATGGAGAGACAGATCGGGTCATATTCGTTATTTTAGGGTTGCGATTAAGCGAAGTTACAGGGCGTGTGTCGGTGTAGAATTGGATATTTGATTAGAAAAATTTTAGAGTCCTCTTTTCATTATTTCCCGTACGCCTGCTGGCTATCTTGAGACAAGTGAAGTCTCGTGGAGCCGCGTTGCTAATTCGATGAGATTCAACGAGGTTCGACGAGATGACGTGTCACGTGACAGTCGCTTTCCTGTTCAAAAGAAATCAATGAGAAGAAGAGAAAGCGATAGAGAAAGCGTAAGAAGAAGAAGAAGACGAAGAAGAGGAGAATACGATGGAGAATGCATAAATGAAGAGAAGAAATTGACAGAGAATACATAAAAGAAGAAGAAAGAGAGAAAGCGATAGGGAATGCATAGAAGAAAAAGACGAAGAAGGTGAGAATACGATGGAGAATACATAAATGAAGAGGAGAAATCGACAGAGAATACATACAAGAAGAAGAAGAAGAAGAAGAAGAAAAAGAAGAAGAAGAGAAAGAGATAGAGACTACATAAAAAAGAAGAAGAAGAAGAAGTAGAAGAAGAAGAAGAAGTAGAAGAAGAAGCAGAAGAGAAAGAGATAGAGACTACATAAAAAAAGAAGAAGAAGAAAAAGAAGAAAAAAGAAGTCTGGAGTCGATTTTCCTTATTTGCGTCGTTAATTTCTCTTTGTCGGCGACAAGTCAACGTAGACTCTTCCCCTAACCTCGTTGGTCGTCGCTGTCCCGTCAACCCGTTCAATCATTTTAATGCTTCGTCATTTTAAGTCTCACATCGTTACTTGGTCGTCCACATAAATTTCAATCAGTATTTGTCCATTTGTTAAACAGAAAGACAGAAACAATTCGCCTCGTTTTCGTCCAAGAACGACAACATGAAAAGCGAACATAATACTAATGTTTCTCTTAATAAATATTAGAAGATGAGGGAAGGAATGGCATGAAAAATCCAAAATGTCATCTATATGAATTTGGTTTGGTTTGGTTTCAAATGTTTTAGGGCATATCAACCACAATGTTTTATTTAATGCCACCAAGATTTTTAGGATAGGTTTGTAGAAATAGAATATGTATTCTTTGTAAGGAATCTGTGTGTAGATTAGGTTTCATTGGCGTATTTTGTAAAGAGCTTTTTTTGTTGAGAATCAAATGTATTGCTAGCAATAATTGTTTCTTCTTTCAAAAATGTATTGTTGGTATTTTTACTATAAATCGCAAAAAAACCTCGAATCGCTAGACTGATGTATTTTAGCGATTTTTACCAATATTTGAAAATTTTGCATATTTGAAAAAAGAATGTCAGTTATTTGAAAGCGAAAATGAGAAGAAAAAATGCTCTTCACTGAATCTGATTAAATAGAACGCGTAACAACCTCAAGTGGGTTTTAGTAAGTAAAGTCAGTTCTTTCTGTTAATATTTGGAAAGAGGCGATAAGTGGTTCATTACGATGCGTTTTCAACGCCTTCATACATGTTATCACAAAATTCTTGATACACACAGAAATAACTATTCTTATACTTTTAATCTTCTTGTTATCTGAAACAGAACTATTTATTATCCTACTTATGCAATTTAATTATGTATGGGGAAATCTTAACCGACATCAAATTATTACAGAAAATCTACGTTACGCTAAGCCAGAATTAAACGATTTCAGATCACCAATAACTGAAAATAAATCCTTAGTAAAAATCTTCTTTTTGTTGGTATATTTTTATCTTATTTCATGAGGTGCTACGTCCTGGGATCGAAACTGTGGATAAACAGTCCGAAGTCAACGACAGAGTAGCATGAGGATTGCAACGTTGGCTTGGTTTGTTTTGCTTTACGGCATATAAACACCTGAATGGGTTATTTAATATCGACAATATTTTCTTTTTATTGCTGGAAATATTTTTTTTCAGAAATGTACGGATTGTAATAATTTTTCTCTTTCAAAAATGTACTGCTGGTAATAATTTTTCCAAAGAAAGTATTGCTGGAATTAAAACATATTTTTATTCTTTCGTAGTATTTTGACCAGTTTTTGGTGGGTTAAATATTTTCCCATAGCTGGGATCCTGACAGGTGCTACCACCCCGTGTCAGGGCGAACCTAGGAACACCAGAAATTAAGAGGTGATTCCACTCTACTCAAAACCAGCTGATCAAAGGCCTTACTGTCGCATGTAGTTTATATTCTTACCCAGGACGCGGATGCATTTTATCGACTTACCCAGGACGCGGATGTAGTTTATCGTCTTACCCAGGACGAGCAACGTTTTCGTTTGTGGAAAAGGGGTTGTAAGGTTGAAACGAATTCATCACACACAAGGCCGCGTAGACATTTTATGATTATCTTGTGACTGGAGTACAGACTGAACACACCAAGCCAGATATGGCAGCAGCAATCTATTTTCGAATTGATCTAGGTCTTGTAAAGTTAAATCAAAAAGAAGTAGTCAGGTACGCACTGAAGCGGTTCATAGAAACATTGTCTGCATCCTGTTATTCTTTAGAAAGTTGAAAGTTTAAAATACTCCACGGTAATGTCGGGACTGTAACTGTTTGTGAGGCTGCAGAAAAGGGTACAATTTTTGATGATTATTTTTCTACCTTCGGTCACAATATGCGTGACGTCATCATTAACTATTTTAAATTTTAACCTTTCTAAAAAATACCAGGATGTAGAATACGATATCTTGGCTACCAGACAGAAACCACATAGACAGCTGAAAATACTTCAACAAGACTAAAGCAAAAACGTGAATATCGGAGAGATTATCCACAATTTTTATCCCAGTACACAACATTTCATTCGAGCTTATGGGGAAAAAAAAGCAATAGGAAATTAAACGTACAGACATTGTCGGCTTTCTTTAATCAAAATTGATTGGATAAATATTTGCTGCATAAACACAAAACATACATGCACACCCATATATATGAATAAATGACAAGTGCAAAAAGTATACTTAACCGACGCATTTTGTCATCTGAGGGACGTTATCAAGGCGAATTTTTTGTTCTCATTTTCTTCATTTTGCTCCCTCAGAGATACACTGTATCTGAAAATAATATATATATATATATATATATATATATATATATATATATATATATATAAATATATAAAAACAGACCATTTAAGGTTCCATGGTTAAATCATTTGCTCTGGATTTAAATTGAGCTCTTTGGATTTTATCCTCCTTGGGTCTACCCATACGGATTACCTTGTTTTTCATAAACTATATATATATATATATATATATATATATATATATATATATATATATATATATATATAATCAATTGGATTAATTCCGACATTATTTAATATATTTTCTGTTTATACTTTATTTGTAATAGACATTGTATTTAAGTAAATCCTCTGTTTTATTTAAATTAACAGTATTAATTACATTTACCGGCCTGCATTATATGTTAACGTATAATCAGAAAATATATTGTATAACTGTCGGACTTAATCCATGTCATAATATGTTGTCAATATTTACGTTAAGGTACGTTTCGTGACCAGATGTGATCGTTCCGGAGAGATCGTCGAATATGTGCTGTTTATAAATAGTAATTTGGACTTTGTTAACAGGTGCGTTCTCTGTAGCTGAGTGGTATAGCATGTCAGATCAAATGACGTTTCCGTTTATAACACTGGTTCGATTCCTGTCAGAAAACGCATATTTTTACGAAATTACTCGCACATTCAGTCGTTTAAATGTAATTAATAATGTTCATTTAAAAAAAAAGAGCGTATCGTTCAATAAATTGTATCTATTAAGAATAAGAAATTATATAGTGTAATGTTATTACTATAGAACGCTATTTTAGAGGGTACGCATATATATTTTGCATACCAGTTTGTTTTGTTTTGTTTTTTTTTTAAATTTAGACACTGAAAGTAATAACAACACTTTGAGAAGTCCTACTAAAGACAGAAATGAAATTAACCTTTATAGTAATATGAAATAATGTCGGATAAAAGATTCATACACACACATACATACATTCATACATACATATACATATATATATATATATATATATATATATATATATATATATATATATTGTAGGTTACAATGAAGCAGTCTTAGAGGTCTGTCCCACAGAATACGGTTATAACGAAGAAGCAGTGTCAGTGTAGCTTCCGTATTAACAAATCAAATGAAATGCCGAAAACTCGAGAGTCCGTTTGCTATTTGCTATGAAGGACTGAATATATATATATATATTTTTTTTTTTTCTTTTTTTTTTCTTTCTATGTTTACATGCAATTATGAAATAATTGAAATCAAAATAAATATAAAATAATCGTGATTTCAATTAAGGCACATTTATATTATTACTTTTCATCAAAGAATCTGTAATTCTCTACAATCTGATCTTAGGAATACTCTTCAATCGAAGAATTTTCACTTGGGCAATTTTTTTCTAAACTAATCTGTTTAGTTCCTGGTATGTTAACGGTTTCTGGAAATTAATTTCAATCACAAATTAAACTGAACCTCTGGCCAGCAGAGGTGTTGAAATATTTGCAAACGTCTGCACTACATTTCAGAAAAATTATCAAGTTGTAACAAAATTTCAAAAGCTTATATATATATATATATATATATATATAGTTTTAAGGTATAATATATATACGGGATGAAGTGCTCAATATCAGAGATAGAGCATATGTATACATAAAAGTGAATATTGAAGTCTACATTCAGAGGCGACAAACTGTTTGATGCTAAACGCAATCATCATGACACATGTTCTTTCTTTTTTTTCTCGACTAATTATATATACGGGTTGGTGGTGCATTTTGGGCTTTCTTTTGTATTGTGATAAGTCTATGCAAACTCTGCTTGGAGGAAATGTAGCTATCATTACCTTCCCAGATAAAAACAAACTACTAATTTAGCGATCAGGACCCATCTCAAAATGCAGACACGACAACAAATTTTTACTACGTTACTTAAAAATCGAAAAATACAAAGAATAAATAAAAATAAATCACATAAAAATAAATAAGCAAAAAGAAGTAAAATAAATTAATCCAAATAAATAAATAAAATAAAAAAAACAAATTTAAAAACCTCTCTCGATGAATAACCGTTGGAATAGATGACTCACAGTGCAACAGACTACCCATAATGCACCACTGCATAAGTAGTCGAGTAAAACAACTCATGTGGCCTGATGATTTAGTTTACCATGAAAAATTCTGTCGCCATCGGGGTGCTGACTTCAATCTGTGGTGTAGTGGTTATCACGTCTGCTTTTCACGCAGAAATTCGCGAGTTCGAACCTCGCCAGAACCTCGTTACTCTTTAACATGGAACCTTAAAGTGGTCTGTTTTTATTCAAAATATTTGCTCTGAATTTACAGTGAGCTCTCCGGATATAATCCTCCTTGGATCTACCCATACGGATTACCTAGTTTTGCATAAACTCTCTCTCTCTCACTATCTCTCTCTCACTATCTCTCTCTCTCTCTCTCTCTCTCTCTCTCTCTATCTCTATATATATATATATATATATATATATATATATATATATATATATATATTACTTATTAAAAACGCAGATTGTGTGTGTGTGTGTGTGTGTCTCTACGTTTATATATTGGATCGAATTTCCTACATTTTTCAACCAATTTCAACAAAACTTCACGGGACTACGTAAAATTACCTTGCAGTGGTTCTGACAGCACCAAAAATTGGAAAAACAATTGTTTTTGCACGAAATCAATTTGAAA